ATATATCTGAATTAACTTTCACCAAATTTGAAGTGCTGGCTTCAAATTCATTAACATTTTTAAGAATGGCGGACGAATTACAAATTGAAATCGGACGCAAATATATATGGGAGCTATATCTAAATCTGAGCCGATATTCACCAAAATCACCAGACGTACTTCAGGACTGAATCTGGCCGTGTGTACTAAAATTCATTCGATTCGGACTTGTATTGCGTATTTAGTAAATCCGCTCCGATTATCACCAATTTTAGTAGGGGTTGTCTTTAGGCCAAACAAATGATATGTGAAAATTTTCATCTCTATCAGACAATAAATGCAACCTGTACTTTGTTTACATAAATACATGGGCAGACGCACGGATATGCATAAATCGATTCAGAATGTGATTCTATGAAGATCATTAAGAGGAATTATGGGCCTATCTCGTTTCATTCTGCATGTTAAAAACAAATGCACAAATACATAATACCTTGCACAACAGTACGGAATAGGGTGTAAAAAGTAGGAAAAATCTATATCAGACATGGGTCAGTCTCAAAACTCTCCAGCAAATATTATTGAATGAAAGCAAAAAATTTCGGAAATAGCATCAAATTTAGATTTGTTCGAATTGGTCACCCTTAGCACGAATTATGGCCTTCAAACGGCCAATGAAACCGTCACACACTACCCGAAGTTTGCTCTGCGGTATTTTGGGCCATTCCCGGCGAAGCCCTTACTTGAGGTGATCAACACTTTGGTATCTAAGTGCCAACCTTGCTTTCCAAAATTCTCCAGACACAATAGTCCAACCGGATTTTAGTGGTCATTGTGCACTGGAAATGAAGCGAGGAACCGCATTTTGTAATCATTCTTGGGTGGCGCGTGGTGAGTCCTGTTGGAATGTCTAAGGTCTGCGGTCAAAATGTTTGCGTGCCCAAGGCTTTAATACATCCTCCAGAATATTTTCGTGATAATATTCGGCATTTATTCTGATGCCACGGTCGGTTAATACGAGCGGAAAGCGAACATCGGTTGTTATGGCAGCCCACACCATCACCATGGCCGGCGATTGAGTTCTGGTGGCCAACCGATGGTGCACATTTTCAGCTGATCTCTTTGGCAATTAAACACGATTATTTTGTTTCTTTACAAACTGCTGGACAACGAATGTTTTCTCATCGGAAAAAACCAAATTCGGCAGTTCACCACTTTCGGCCAAGCGAAGCTACTCTTTAGCACTTTTGAGTCTATTTTCTTTCTGTTGCGGTGTAAGTTCGTGCACTTTTTGGAATTTCAATGGGTTTACCCCGAGCTCATTTTTCAATATTTGCCGAATAGAATATTGTGATATGTTCAGCTCACTAGCCATTTTTCGGCCACTGCGACGCGGGTTTCGATCAAGTCGCTTCTTTACTTTTCGAACCATTTCTGCTAGTGTTGCTGTTTTCTTCCGTCCACTTCCTTGACGTCGAGCTACGGTACCAGTATCACGGTAACGAGCGATGGTAGGAGACATAAAACATTTATTCACATTTAAATGCTGAAGTGCTCTAACGATAGCCACTTGTGGTTTTTGAGCCAAATATAAAGAAATTAGACTATCACACTTGAATTCCATCACGAATAATTTTTTTTTTTTTGGAAAATTCCTACCAAAATGCTTTTGTAGGATTGTAAACAATATAATGAGCTGTCACTGAAAAAAAATTTAACAGCTGTCGGACGAGTGGCTTAGAAATGACAGCAGTCAGAAGTTGGTTGCAGTTTTTTCATCTCACGCCATTTTCGGTGTTTTGGTGATTTTAACGACATTATTCAGCGGAAATGTTTCATATTTTAGTATTTGAAGTTCGTAATGGAAACTACAGCCTATGACAGAAAATTGTCTGTGGAAGCCCACGTCTTCGTATAGCCCCCATATAACAACACCTCCCGCTATGCAGTATTTTAAAGATTTTAGCGACATTATTTCCCTGAATTGTTTCAAATTTGGTATTTGAAGTTCGTAATGAATACAGCCTACTACAGAAGATTGTTTGGGCAGGTCCACGTCTTCGTATAGCCCCTATATAATGTAACCTCCCTTTTTCCGGAATTTTGATGATTTTTGCGACATTATTCACCGGAATTGTTTTAAATTTGGTATTTGAAGTTCGTAATGGATAATACAGCCTACGATAGAAAATTGTTTGTGTAAATCCACGTCTTCGAGTAGCCTCCATATAATGGTACCTCACTATTTCCGGTATTTTGATGATTTTTGAGACATTATTCACCGGAATTGTTTCAAATTTGGTATTTGAAGTTCGTAATGGATACCAAAGCCTATGACAGAAAATTGTCTGTGGGAGTCTACGTCTTCGTATAGCCCCCATATAACGATAACTCCCGATATTCGGTATTTTGATGATTTTTGCGATATTATTCACCGGAGTTGTTTCAGAGTTGGTGTTTGAAGTTCTGTGCAGGTCCACGGCTTCGTATAGCCCCTATATAATGGAACCTCCCTATTTCCAGTATTTTGATGATTCACCGGAATTGTTTTAAATTTGGTATTCGAAGTTCGTAATGGATAATACAGCCTATGACAGAAAATTGTCTGTGCAGGTCCACGTTGTGGTATAGATCCCATACAATGGTACCTCCCTATATTCTACATTTTGATGATTTTAGTTACATTATTCACCGATTTTTTTCAAGTTTCGCATATGAATGTTGTAATGACTTATGGCAAAACTTGCAAATGCAAGTCCACGTCGTCGTATGGACCCTAATATAACGGCTACATTCGGTAGTTTTAAGATTTTAGTAGAATTTTTAACGGATTATGTTTTTTTGAAAATTGTCAAGTTCGTTCCAAATGGTGGATGGTATTCAAAGTTCTGCCCGGCCGAACATTCAGATTTTTTACTCGTAAGATTTGTTGAACTATTCATTTGCATTATACATGGATATGGAAAGGATATAGGGTATCTCATATATAGGTATATTACATAAGAATATCTATCTTTAAACGTGTGTGGTTTTTTTTTAATTAGAAGTCATTGTTGGCTCAGAGGAATGTCCGTATGCCTTAACAATGCCATAAATCTTATTTCAGATCCTGTAACTATCAATTTCAACATTTCTGTAGCTTAAAACAAATCAATATTCACTGAAAATGTTTCTCCATACCCTGCTAAGGCTTTAGTTCTTTAATATCCCTAACTATAGCCTCCTAACTTAATGTCACCATAATTTTTATTTTTCCACCATTAAATAAAAAATTATCAGATATTAAAGTTATACCATTAAATCGAAAACCAATTTCACACTCCTTCTTCCCTCCAGCAAATAACAAATACTAACTCCTCCTCTGACCGCCACTTTAATTCCTTATTAACTTCCTACGACGGCACAATAAAATCGAAAATATGTCTCCACTTTAAGATGTTAGGTAGTTGTTGTTGTGATTTTTATCTCCTCCTGCCATTTTCACAGTATTTAAATTGCAATTATTTAATGTCCCTAAAGGACCTTCACTCATTATGTTAATTTACTTTTCGACGGCATTGGTTTCTTTTGTTGTCTCATCCTTGAGCCAGATGACAGTGCCAAAGTTTTTGGTTGAGAGTAGTTGAGAGTTTTCTCATCCCCCACACCACACCATTGCCTAATTTCAAAAAGGTATGGCATTGAAGATTAAGATACAGCCGACTGATGCTGCCTCTTCTTCTGCTGCCGCTGTAGTTGCTGTTTGGTGATGATTACGGGTGTCATTGTTGTTCTTGTATCGTCTGCACCATTCCATTGTAATTTCAAGATTTATGTGACATTCAATGTTAATTGAGCCGATAAATTGCAGAAAAAGAAGTAGAAAAAAATTTCTAATTTAAATCGGAAAATTTTCTGAACTTTTTAGCCATGAAATGTATAAATACTCCACGTGGTGGTAGGTATTGGCAATGGCATAAAATGTCCTAGGCAGAATGTAAATCTCCTAGCCGGGATGGCAATAGGTTTTCCGTTTGGCAGTCTCTAGCTGCATTGCTTTTGTAAATACTTTGTTATATAATTTAATTACTTTTTAAGTTAAGCCATAAATTAGCTTTGTGCAAGTCGTACTCGCTGCCCCTCTCTCTTCCTTGTCCTGCCTGGACTAGTTTATTTAAATGTGTGATGTCTAATGTAAAGTTCATTTCTTTGAATGCCGTTTGCCAACTGCATTGGGGGGGGCAGGCAAACAAGACAAAGACAGAAAGAAAGGAAAATCAATGCCTTGGCTCTTCGTTTTCATTGCTTAGTTCTGCTGATATCTGCTTGAGGTTGAGCGGCAATATTTTTATTTGTTTGCCCACAAAGAAGCGAAAGAAGAAGAGCCTCACGAAGATAGTAAATTCCCGTGTTCTTTGAAAAAAATGTTTTCTCTCCTAAATTATGCACTCCTTTGCCGACTAAAGCAGGGCATTCACAATTTAACTACCTCGTTTTTGCTCAGCATTTGGTTACAGGGGGATTCGAAAACAGAAAAGCCAAGGAGCCTGAAATGTCGTTGCCTTCGTCTTCGAAGTCTTCTTTTGGTGTTGGCCCTCTGGAGGCAGTTTGTTTATCTTGGGTAAAACGATGTTCCGTAGTCTACATTTAACCATTGTGTTGTGAAACGACAGATAGACCTACCTACCGACCGACCGACAGGCGGTGAGATTGTAAAATATTTTAGCATCTTTGTTAAAGTCATGGACACAGGATCTGCAAAGAAAGGAAAGGTTTTTCTTTGGAGCCAACAAACGACTCGAAGATGGAAGAGACCAGAATATTGCCGTTTCGTTGTCTTTTGTGTAGTTGGCCAACCGAGAAAGAGAGACAGAGAGGTGAGCAATGCAATAAAATGTTTAAGCAAAATGTTCACTATTTTAAATATTATCTGTTGGAAGATGTATTGCATGGGGAAAGAAAGTTAGAGAACCTGGTGCTTTATTAAATATTTCTAGTTGGAGGAATATTAAAATATAAGTAAATATTTTATACTAACTTACCTTAATTATCCAAATTGAGTTGTAGCCATAATTTAGTTTAAATGATCTAAAACAAAAACGAAAAAAAATGTGGATTTGATTACAACGTGACTTTAAATTAGTATGAGATAATAAGTAGAATGAGTAGCATTTAAAGAATATATCAACTTATATTTACTAATTGAAAGAATATGTATCCTAGGGACACAAAGCGATATATGCGAAATGTTATCAAATTTGGCAGTTCACCAGTCTATACGACAACGTGGACCAACGTCGGCAAGTTTTGTCATAAGCCAAAACAATATCCAAATGCAAAACTTGAAAAACAAAAATCGGTAAATAATGTAGCTAAAATCATCAAAATTCCGAATATAGGCAGGTACATTTATATGGGATCTATACCAAAACGTGGACCTGCACAGACAGTTTTCTGTTAAAGGCTGTATTATCCATTACGAACTTCAAATACCAAATTTGAAACTATTCCGGAGAATAATGTCTCAAAAATCATCAAAACACCGAATATCGGGAGCTACCATTATGTGGGGCCGATTCGAAGACGTGGACCTACCCAACAATTTTATGTCATAGCCTGTATTATCCACTACGAACTTCAAATACCAAATTTGAAACTATTCCGGTGAATAATGTCTCAAAAATTATTAAAATACCGGAAATAGGGAGGTACCATTATATGGGGGCTATTCGAAGACGTGGATCAGCACAGACAATTTTCTGTCATAGGCTGTATAATCCATTACGAACTTCAAATACCAAATTTGAAACTATTCCGGTGAATAATGTCGCTTATATCACCAAAATACCGAAAATAGGGTGAGATGAAAAAACTACAACCAACTTCAGTCTGATGTCATTTCTAAGCCAGTCGTGCAACAGCTGTCAAAACCATTTGTGGGTGAGGTACCAGATGGGGTTCGCAGATATATAACATCTTCATAATAGATTTTGCTTTAGCAAAAATATTTGTATGTGTGAAATTTGAAGTGAGTTAGATGCTTATTTCGCTTTTTTCAAGCCTTTATTATTTTTAACCTTGAACCCTATTTGGATGAGTTATTAGAAGAAATGGTCCGTTCTCTACCATTCTTGTGTCAGATCTTGTGTTAAAGGAGTGAAACGATATATTCCATCTTCACACCAAACCTTAGTTTAATAAAAATATTGTAATATTTGAAATATTAAGACGATTATTTCGAATATTATAATCGCTTTGGTTATTCAAAACGTTGACTATTTGTGGGGAGGTACCAATGAGAGATGTACCAAGTCTGAATAAAACCGGATGTTAATTTCGCGTTATATGAGCTTCGTGTGATTCAAAATGTTGACCCTTTGTGGGGGAGGTATCAGAAGGAGTGAACCGATATATTTCATCTTCAAAACAGATCTTTTGTTAGTTAATAAAAATATTGTGTTTGATTTAAAGACAATCGGACTCTTACATCACATTTTATGAAAGTTATAATTATTCAAAATTTGACCTTTTGTGGTGGAGGTACTTGATGGAGTGGACCGATACTGTCAATTTTCGCACCTGACCTAGAACTCATAAAAATATTAGGATTTGCAAAGCTGGAGCAAAATCTGACTATCCTTTCTGCTACGATGTACAAGTCTGGACCAAACTCCCTTCGAGAGTGATCGCGCGCATCAGCCAGACGGACTTCGCTAAATCGACTCCAAATATCCTGTAACCTGAAACGGACTCAAGTCGCTTTTTATGTAAGTTTGGTTAAAAATATTATGATGTGCAAATTTTAAACTGCCTACAAGAGCTATCGTGCTAATCTGCCGGACAGAGAGATAACCAACGATCATTGCAATACCAACTCAAAATATACTGTGTTTATGTCGTCCAAAGCTACAGTAATTATTTTGGTAACTCAAGTTTTTGATTTTGTCGTAAAAGGTAAAAAAAGAGTTCTTTGTTGCGTATGATGAAAGTAGCACTGATAATTACACAATGTATACGCACCAGCAAACCAATTAATTAGATATATCTGAATCAGTTGTTATTTATAAAAAATATTTGTACTTAGTTGATAAAAACCCCTACTACGGATGAACCCTATTGTAATTGGTGATAATTTGTCGGATTTTTTGACATTCGATTTAATTCAACCAATAAATAAGTTTGCCAAATTTGAAAAATTTGTAGCAATTTTTATTTTCGTTTTGATATTAATCCCATTTAGTACCTGATTATACCCCCAGCCATATGGCTTAAAAGGGTATATATCATTTGATACAGCCACAACGTACCTCATAGAGATAACGGACATTTGGAGTCGATCTAGCGATGACCGTCCGTCCATCTGCCTGTCATCGTAATATTGTCATCAAACTTAGACAAATATATATTTTACTGCACAGAAAGAGAAAATTCGATTTTGCTCCAACTCTGCAAATCCTAAAACTTGCATCTAGTACCTTTCCCACAAAGAGTCAACATTTTTTCAATATAAGTGACCAGCAATTCCACCAAAATAATGAATTAAAAATAAGAAATATATTAACAAAGAATGATTTCCCACAAAAAACAATCGACGGTTTAATAAAACGTGCAAAAAAGAATACAAAAGTTAAAATTAGAGAAGAAAAGGAAATATCATACAAATCTTTGACGTATATACCTGGATTTTCTGAGAGATTTTGCAGATCGAATGCGTATAATAAGCATAAATACCAATTAGCTTTAAAAACCAATTACAGTGTCAACAATATGTTCAGTAGAACTAAAACGAAGACAAAAAAGGAAGACAAGAGCAATGTCGTTTATAAGATAGCATGCAACGTCGACGAAACCACTATATGCCAAAAAGTATATATTGGCACGACAAAAACAAAATTAAAAAACTAGACTTTCCGGACATAAATCGGATCCAAAATCAGACAAACCTTTAGAACAAAAGACAGCTCTAGCAGCACATTGCACATTAACAGGACAAAGACCGAACTTTAAGGATATTAATATAATGGCACAAGAAAACAACTACAAAAGACGATTAACATTAGAAATGTTACATATCATAAATGTACCACCAGAAAAAATAATGAACTTTAAAACTGATACGGACCACTGTGTACATATTTACAGAAATTTAGTACATAAACACAGATGGAAAAAGACTTAGTTCGAATTTGACGTTGAATTAGAGCAGACGTTTTCCTCTAAAACAAAGTTAATGTAAGAATTGTGTGTTGTGTAATTTGTCTTATTAATTTGTAATAATTTGTGTTATTTGTAACAGATCCCTGAAGATGATTGTCGATGACAATCGAAATATTGGATATAATAAAGAGAAAAAAAGGAGATAACTAAATAAAATTGTTTTACTGACCTTCAGCCGAACTATCATCAAAAATATTAAAATCTACCAGGTCAACAATAAATAACAACATTATTTTGAGTGATTATAACACATATAATACGTGATGCGATGTAATTGTCTTCAAATTACACACATCACAATATATTTATTTCTACAAGGTCTGGTATGAAGATGGAATATATCGATCCCCCACAGAAGGTCATAATTTTGAATACCCATGAAGCCCATAAAACGCGAAATTAACATCCGATTTCATCCAGACTTTGTACATCGAAATATTTTCATCAACATGAGATATGTTATAAAGATGCTAGAGATCGGACCATTTCTTCCAGTACTTGCCCCACAACGGGTCAAACTTTTGAATAATTATATCTCTCATAAATTGTCAAATAAGCATCTGTTTCTCTTAAAATTCCACACATCCCAATATTTCTACTGACACAAGATATGGTGTGAATATGGCAGACATCGGCCTACCCCTTGTGATACCTCAACCACAAACGATCACAATTTTAAATACTTAAATCTCTCAAAACTTACGAAACAAGTCAGTGATTCCATTTAAACCCGGTATCCCACAACAAGAGATTTGATGTGAATGATTTTTTATGCCCACTCCTCCGATACCTCCTCCCGCACAAAAAGTTAGAATTTTGATTTACAATTATTCGCATAATTTTTTTCGTTTCGACAAATTTTAAAATGATAATTGTTGTATTGATTTTCAAAGAAAAAATAAATTCATTATCACAATTAATTTTTCGACGAGAGAATTCACATAAAAAATTTATCTCAAAAAGGAAATATAATCGGAGTCGAAGTAGAGTTTATTCCATGACACCGGTTTCAACAAAATGGTACGATTCTGAGACTCCGCCTCTGCAACCGAAGTGAATTTCAGGTAATCAATAAATTGTTGTTTATATTGTGAATTTTCTCCAGCAAATTTCAGTTACCAAATTAGCTGATTTTTGTAGAAACATTAGCAAAAACTTTAAAAGTACCATAATAATTTTGTACGACATTTTCAGGACAACAATCCCAATTCGTTTAAATTGCATGTTTTGTCCGGACGGAGAGACATGACTAAATCTATTTAAATTATTATTCTTAACCATGCCCTTTATGGATAATGCCCTTTGATAATTTTGAGAAGATATAAAAAAAGATACAAATACAAATTTTAATAAGAAAAATATTATTTTTTCTATTTCGATGTGGGAATATTGCTATTTTAATGTTGTAATAATTTTCCGTATTATAAGTTCATATATGAATACGATTTAAGGCTGTTCAATCTGTTATTTATCTGCCTTACCAATTGACAGTAATATAAACCCTTTTCCTCTCTGTTGACATAACTTTAATGTAATTTCCATTTCAATAAATTTTCAATTAATAAAATTACAATTATTTGACATTCATTAACCAAATATTCAACTTAAATTAATGGCATCCTTTCTCAAATAAATATTCCAATAATTATACGACTAATCAAATTTCACTTACATCCAATATTCTCTAGAATTGCAAAACCAAAAATTTAATAAACACATTTAAAACTTTACCTCAATTCCGAGTAAGGCCTCAAGCGTTATTATTGGATTTTGTCTAACAAAATTTGTGGAATTTCAATGATTATTGACTTAAAAGCTTAGATCGATTACAACAAATAAACCAAACACACAGTCAACCAGTCAGTTATCCG